AGCTTTACAGGAAGAAGGAAAAACTATATTACCTTTAACGTAAGTCAGTAGAACCAGACATTTTCCCAAGTCATTTTGAGCCGTTTCTTTTAGACCATTCTTCATGAAATTTACACACAATGTAAAGGGCCGACATTGTCAGATTACGTCAAAAAATGATAAATGACCAAAATGGAGCTACGAGGTTTTCTTCCTCTCCCAAAACTCCAGCAATTGGTCTCCACACTTCCAAGACGTTAACAGACTGTTGTTAAAAGAAGAGTGGATGCTACACAATGGCAGACATGGCCCCGTCCCAACGTTTTTGAGATCTGCCATCAAGTTCCAAAGGAGTTAAGATTTTTCTGAAGTACTCAAACACATTCAGTGATGTTGAGGTCTGGACTCTGGGGTGGTCAGTCCATTGTTCAGCTTCTTTGTTTGATGTGTCTGTCTCCTTTTCTCAGTGAGGTTCTTCTTGACAGCTACACATCCTTTCAGACCCACAGCGCTGAGTCGTCTTCTCACAGTGGAAGGATGGACAGAAACACCTGTGGATGTTTTCAGATCTGAAGCAGCTTGATTTTCTCCTCTCTCTCAAAGATGAAAGCTTTAAGTGCTGTTTATCTGATGGGGGCGGTTTTGGTGTCTACCAGGTCTTCCAGGTGGTTGTTAAAAGGCCCATTTGCTCCAGTTCTTTTTTTGTTTTCACTTGTCTTTCTCTGACTTTCTCTTTTTTTATGCAAGTGAATCGTCTTATATCTAATCTCCTCAGAAACATCACCTGAAGCATGTAAGTGGAACTTGTACTTAATGGCTGTTTTGCCTGTAAATTAAATTAATGAAGGGTGGTCTCTGATTTTGTCCTGTACTATCTTTCAGTTTCAGAATTACAGAGCATACTGGCTGATCTCCACCTGCATTAAATCATAGTAATTCCAGTGATATAAAATCAACATTTCTGAAAAAATCCCTATGTTGCATAACCTGTTTAAAAGCAAACACTTGCCCGCAAGTACAGAAAACTTCCCAAGAACACGTGAGAAAAAAGAAGGCCAATAAAATGTACACAGTATGAGATAAAAGGTTTTTGCTGTACTTTAGATTATTGCATTTGTTGAAACGTGATCTCAGGGCCCTTACGCTAACTATATTTGTCACATGACATAAGATGCAGAAATTCCATCTCATCTTATTGGTCATCCTAAAAAGTAAAGGGAAAAAAGAAAGGGCCGTTTCCTTAATTAAAGGGTATTTTTTTTTTAAATAAAAAAAAAACACAGTTAAAAAATGAAAACATAAATGAGTTCGTGCAATTTGTAAAATAATTTTGTGGGTTTTTTCACTTTTTCTGTGTGAAATTTAAGCTTCTAGGCTGTTATTTGGAGCAAAAATGAGCTCTGAAAAAAACAAGGGTCTTAAGTGGTTCTTGGCCTTGATGTACATTTCTAGGAAAAACCTTCAGAACCTTTTCACCTACTGAAAGGCTTCTTAAGGAACGCTAAATAACTCATCCAGTTTTGGTTTTAAACTGGCATAAAAGCATTTAAGCAACATCACACAGGGGTGAACTCAGCTGTGTGAACTGTAAACTGGTATTTTAACATTCACCAAAACATTAAATTGTGATTTGCTTATTAGCTTGTTAGCTAACTGGATTATCTTCAGTTCCCTCTCTCCCTCTCTAGAGAGAGGAGCGTGGGAAAAGATTACATACAGAAACCATCAATACCCACAACATTCGAGTGAATGCAGTAAAACAGTCCCAGAGAGGCTTGATGTTGCCATCATCTCCAAACAGACGATGGAAACAATAGTACTATGGAAAATATTACATCATTGATTTATCAGTTTATTAGATTTCCCAAAGCCATGGTTCAATAGAGCCTTGATTGAATAATTAATGGTAGTTACTGAATAATTCGTATTAGTTACTGTATAATTTATAGTAGATACTGAATAATTATTAGTAGTTACTGAATAATTTGTAGTGGATACTGAATAATTATTAGTAGTTATGAAATAATTCATAGTAGTTACTTAATAATTCATTGTAGATACTGAACAATTCATAGTAGTTACTGAATAATTCATAGTGGATACTGAATAATTATTAGTAGTTATGAAATAATTCGTAGTAGATACTGAAGAATTTATAGTAGTTACTGAATATTTTATAGTAGTTACTGAATAATTCATAGTAGTGAATAATTTCTAGTACATACTGAATAATTCATAGTAGCTACTGAATAATTCATAGCAGATAGCAGATACTGAATAATTCATGATACCTAATGAATAATCTATAGCAGATATTGGATAGTTTGTAGCAGTTACTGAATAATTTATGGTAGTTATGAAATAATTTACAATGGACACTGAATGGTACGTATTAAGATTTAAATTAATCATGAGATTATATTAACATACTTTAAAGTTATACATTTGCTTGATACCGATACACCCCTAAAATCACAACACTTCAATAGAAATCTCTGTTGTCGACATTACTGAAAGTGTACTTCAATTGAACTTTTGAAACGAATTTCATAAGAAGCTTATCAGCACCTCAAGGGCAGAATATCAGGCTGGATATGTTATATGAGTGCATAAAGCAGTGGTTCAGTAGAGCATGACCTAGCAAAACATCTTAGGGGCCCTCCAGAGCCTCTGTCTGCCTGAGAAGTGTGTAAGAGAATTTTAAAAAAGGCACAGTACTGAGGAACTCCATCCCACTGTGGAGCAGGGTGGAGGCAGCGGTAGGTTATGGGGAATTTTAAAAATGATTTGATGAATTCTTAGTAAAGTAATAGAGTCAAATATTGCCAATGATTGGTCATGTTAGTGGACACATGCCAGGGTGAATTATAGTAGGAACTAACACTTTGTTTAAAAGAGACTGAATGGCATTGAATTATGCATTTAAACTCAAATCAAATCATGTTTATTGTCACATCATATTTACAAAGGAGTGAAGGTGAGTGAAAATAGGTAGTAGCCCCTCTGTAGTCCTTAAATACTGTATATATATATATATATATATATATATATATATATATATATATATATATATACCAGAATTTTTTCCAAGTCATTTTGGGCCATTTCTTTTTGTCCATTCATCATGAAATTTACGTACAATGTAAAGGACAACAGGCATTTTCAAATTATGTCAAAACCTGAAAACAAGCAAAAATGGAGATATGGATGGATGCGAAATACACATATACAAAATCAACACTAGTATTGCGAAATGTACAGTTGTACAGTAATAAGTTATGAAATGAAACTGTGATATGTACTGTTGTACACATCACCGTATGTGCAATTAGTGAGTCTAAGGTAGATAAATAAATGAGATGCTGGGAACACAGGGAAGAGAATATTGATATAGAAATCTTCCAGATCATACAAGATATGGATAGAAGATGTACAAGATGTCAATCTATATGTGTAAGTACAGATTTGTTAGATTGAAGGTACAGTAATAAGTAAAAAGTAAATACTTGAACACCTAAAAAGTAATACTTGAGTGTTTATGAACAGCTTATGTCAGTACCTGTACGACGTCATAAGATCTGTTATATGAAGTGAATTATATGTTGACATAAGGGATTTTGAACTAAAGTGATGGACATTTGTTCTATTTACAGCACTGTTTATGAAGCATCATTCCCAAGCAATGGAGCATATAAGACAGAGTTCTATTTAAGATCACCATATAATGGTTGTATACAATTCATACATTATTTAAAAGTACAGTTTGTATTAAGGGGACTAGCAGGCCTCAAAAATGATCAAAATGATAATTATGTAAGTTTAAAGGCATCAAAATCTTCTATAGAACTGTTAAAGGAGCTCTAAAATTGGCCTCTTCCTTATAAGCTCCATTACTTTGTTATGATGCTTCATAACAGTGTTATTAAATAGTTTAAGGCTGTTTATACAGTGTAATTTGCTTCATAAAACACTTGTACTAATGCATGTGTTATAAAGCTCATGTGTAGTTATCCATCAAATAAAGTGTTACCAACAGCCTGACACTGTAACAACAGAAGAACCTTTTTTTGTTGCCATATAGAACCATTTTTATTTATTTATTTTTGTATTGTATAGTGTTCTAATAAGAACCATATACAATATATTCTCCATTAGTCTGAAGAATCATTTCACCATGCAAATGGTTCTTTGAGCGTTCATGGTTAGATATAGAATCATTGTCTTTACTAAAGAACCCTTGAAGAACCATCTTTTATAAGAGGGTATAATATTGCCGTAATAATAATAATAATAATAATAATAATAATAATAATAATGTAGGGTACTTTTCATGCAAAAATAGAAGAAATACATTTGTTCTACAGTTGATTGTAATTCATTTTCTATTATATTATTATTCTATTATAGTTACTGTTTGGTAACAGTAATAGAACGAAAAAATGAACAAATGGAAGTTGAGTATTCATTTATACAGTACTATAGTAAATTATATACTTATAGTGATCTGTAATAGTTGTGAAGTAAACTATAGATTATATATATATCTATCTTATAGATCTATATAGATCTATATATGTATACACACACAAACACACACTATAATCTTTAGTTTACTTATATATCGTTTATATATAGGTTTAAGCATATCATCTGCGCCATCTGGTGGCCGTGCTTTTTAAAAATCCTTCACTGTTTGCGCGCTATCCGTTCAGAGATGAAACACATTTTCTAACCACATGGTTTCCCACCGCCCACCCCCCACCATAAAGAAACACACGTTACAACTGATGTTGATGAGTCTCTACAGAGAGTGTTATTTCCAGTTTCAGTCCATTTCAGTCTTAGAGCTGCAGACTTACTCGTCTTGTAGTCATCCACGCATTGAAGGTGCTCGTGGGAAATCCCTTCCATGGGATGCCTATAAAATAGGGCATCACATTACAGCCCTCTAAACTGCTCCAAGGCTCAGCACAGGAGAACAGGACGAGAAGACCGAAGAGATCATGACACTCTCACTAACCATGTCCAGTGAGTACAGTCAGCTTTGTCCGCTTTTTCTCAGCTCCACTCAGAGCTGTAGTGCTGTTTGAGTGGAATGGCTGCTTTAGGATAAACATTCGTTTAAGTGTGTTTACAGCTTAATAAACAAACAAATAAATGAATAAATAAATAAATAAATAAATAAATAAATAAAGACTGTTTTGCTCTGTGCGCGCGCAGACACGGCTGTGTGTCTGGTCGCTGTTGCGCTTCTCTGCGGAGGAGCTTTGGCGACTCCATTACGCAGCAGCGCGCCGCCGGGGCCGGACGCAACGCTCTGCACCAAACACGCCAGATCTCTTCTGCTCAGGCTGAGGAGCGTCCTGGATTCAGTAAGTAATCGGAATGAGGCCGCAGTGATGAAGCAGCCAGTGTTTTTACAGTTCAGACCTGTTGCGCTGGATGTTAATGGGATTTTACGCACTCAGGCGCTGGAGGAACAGAGTGGAAGCGACGCTTTGTTCCACGGCTTTAACTGCACGGATCTGCGCGCTGAACTGAGGCCGGACAGCCAGACGGTCGCCGTGTGCCAGCCCGACCAGGTACGCCTTATTAATTAGAAGACGTATTATCCAGTATCAGCGATAGATAATTCAGTAACTGCAACGAAAGCAATGCGTATGTTATATAGTTATACGACGAATTGAAGTGTGGACCTACATACTGACCCTTTGGGTTTAGGCATGATAAGGCACGTTAACCGTGAGTTAACTTGAGTAACAACCTTATAACAGCTTGAGAGGATAACATTACAGGACAACAGCCTGATAAAATCACAGCTTTAGACAATAACTGCCTAATAGGACGAGAGCCAGATAAAATAACAGCCATATAGGAGGACAGTCTGATAAAATCACAGCCTGATAAAATAACAGAAAAACGTTTGATGAAATATAAGATTTAGACAATAACAGCCTTATAAGACACAGCCTGATCACAGCCTGATCAAATAGCAGCTTTAGGCAATTACAGCCTTATAGGACAACAGCCTTCTAAAATAACAGCCTTAGAGGATGACAGCCTGATAAAATGACAGCATTATATAAAAACAGCCTTATAGAACAATAGCCTGATAAAATAACAGCCTTATAGCACAACAGCCTGATAAAATTACAGATCTACATAATAACAGCTTTATAATACAACAGCCTATAAAATAACAGCCTCATTATAAAACAGCCTGATAAAATAACAGTTTTAGATAATAAGAGTCTTATAGCACAACAACAGCTTTAGATAAGAAGAGCTGTTGTATAGGATGAAAGCCTGATAGCACAGCATTCTTAAATAAGAGCTTTAATACAGCCTGATAGAATAAGAGCCATATCAGCTGAGCACTTTAAAGGACATTGCCTCCAAAAGAAAAACCTTTAAGATTAAGTGTTCTTTCAGCCTGAATTTTCATAATTCTTGTGGGACTATCCCTCTGACAGAGATAATATGTGTCTATGTGTGTTGTTTTATATCTTTAATACCCTTTTCCTTTGAGTGATGTGGCTTTTTCATCACACTGTGTTCTGTGTGTTGTCTACAGTATGTGACATGTTCTGACCAAAGCAGCTCTTCATTCAGCGAGGTGAGACCACTTTTCATCAACTAACAGTTTTTAATGTGATGACAGTCACACATTCATACAAAAGACATAATGAGGCATAAAAACATAAAGGCTTTGTTTCATTTTTACCCCAAACTTATCATTCAGTTATTAATCTTAAGTGATATTATTCAGTAATGACTATGAATACATATTGTAAGTATGGAATTATGGACATGTGGACCAACATACGGTCCATTAGGGTCTAATATAGTGTAATAATAGTCAATCATATCACATCACACACTGCTCGAATGCAAGTTAAAGACCTCACAGGAGGTTTGGGCTTGTCTGTATTGTGCTGACTCTCATCTCTCCGCAGCCTGAATGTCTGAAGAACGTCAGAGGAGACCTGCAGTATTACCAGCTGATGCTGAGAGACTACGTGAAGTCTCTGGATCAGAAGCAGAAATCTCGATCCATCGCTGAGCTCACCTCCATTACCAAACTGATACAAACCCTTCAGGAGGTATAAGACTGCACTGCCATTCTAAATGCATTATAGATAGCCTATAGGGGAATTCCACCAATTATCCAAGATTTCATTGAAATGTAAACAGTCATTCAGAGTGGTTTTGTGTGAAATAGTTGGTTGTAGAGGCTCAGGTTTCTTTACAGTGGTGGTAATAGGAACCAGAGTTCACCATGACTACAACACAAATCTGAAAAAAGTGTTTCTTTGGGGGCTATTCGGCCTTAAGTCTGCATGTACCCCTTCATCATGATTGCATTATAAGAATAAGTTTTAGGCCAAAACTTTCTCAAAACTAAAACATCTCATTTAAATTCATGGCATTTGGGAGACGTACAAATCAAGAGCTACGTACAATTAACATTAACACAGGTAGTGTTAGGAGTCTTGCCCAAGGACTCTTATTAGTATAGCATAGGATGGCTGCCCAGGCAGAGCACTGAACCGAACACTGAACTGAACAGTCTACAGCATAGAGAGCAGAGGTATTACTACACTGTACCAACCACAAGCAGTGCATTTATAACCATTTCATGTAGTAACTTTCTGTGAGGGAGCTATTAGAGGTGGACATCTGGTTCCTATCAACACCATTGTGAACAAATCTGACTCTAGTTTCTATAGAACAGAGCATCAAAGAGATGTACAAAACACTGAGCCCAAGCTTTGCCGACCATATCTGTAGCGGACAGTCGATTACCACAGAAACTAATTCCAACATTTCCCTGAACAGAAACCCTGAAACATTCATCAAAGAAGTCAGTGAGTTGCTGCTTTGAGTCAGAGGGCTTTCTGTTCTTTTACTAGATATAGAGAAATGCTTCAAGATTACTCTTTGTGGTTATCAGTACAGTACAGATGCAGTAGATCGAGATGTGGTCAAAACTGAAGTAGTACTTTAACCCCTTCAGATGGCCAGGGCTCGTCACCAGGCCCAACGTTATTACACACTTCTATAACCTAAGAATAGCTCAGCCAGTTTGCATGACGTCCCTGTTGCTACTCAATAATAAGCCTTAGTATGTAATAAACCTGGGATTATAAGAACTTTACCTCTTTAGCTTCTACGTCCGCATGAAGGCTTATCATTCTGTAGCCACATGACTGAGGATAGTGATAGTTACACTCTTCAAAGATCGTTCTTCATGCGTTCTTTAGTAAAGAAAGTGGTACTGTATAGAGCCATGAGCACTCAAAGAACTATTTGCATGCTTAAATGTTTTGTGGTATGGTTCATCAGATTGATTGGAATTATGTTGTATATATCACAATGTCAAGCTTGTATACACTAGCAGAACCCTTTTTGGGGTCATCATATAGAATGCATTCTCCATGAATTTAAAGAACCAGTTCTTTGAGTGTTCATGGTTCTATACAGAAGAACCACCGTATTCACTAAAGAACCTAAAGTGTGTAAGACTGAGATCCATGAAGATTAAAGAGTTAATGATGATGGTACATTTGGTGAATATATATATATATATATATATATATATATATATATATATATATATAGGGAGAGAGAGAGAGATAGATAGATAGATAGATAGATAGATAGATAGATAGATAGATAGATAGATGAATATTGTTTGTTTGTGTGATGATTATGAATATGTTTTGCGACCCTCATCCATGCGCTCTGTTCCTGATAGGAATGTCCACTACTGCCAAAAACCGAGGAGCCCCCAACGACAGTAAGTGTCTCTCTCTGTTCATCCTCAGAAAAGTAGATTGGACTTACACAGAGGGGAAAATGACGTTTAGTTGATTTACAGAAGTGAAAAGTTGAAGTTAACACATCCTCTGTAGAGATCACACTGGCATTTTACTGTCATATAAAATGTGCCATAACTGTTGCACAGGCCATATTTTATTAGATTTTTTTCCTCAACATGTTAAACAAATAAACAGTGATTAAAATGTGCAGAAGTGTGAAAATCAACAAAACATGAAATATGTCCTGGGTGCCCAAACTTTTACATATGACTGCGTATTGTCACTATTCAAAAAAAAAAGTGGCGACTTTACAGGAGAAGGCAAAACCATTGTTTACTTTTAATGTTAATAAATGTAAGTAGCTTTATTTTACTTTAGCTTCATTTATTAAGTGGCTTTGGACAAGATTTTTTTCAGGTTTTGTCCTAATTTGAAAATTCCTGTTATCCTTTATATTGTGTGTAAATTTGATGAAGAATGGACCAAAAGAAACAGCCCAAAATGACTTGGAAAAAATTCTGGTTCCATTGACTAAAGTATTTTTTTTCCTGCTCCTGTAAAATTACCATTTTGGAGATACAAGGTTTTCTTCCAACAACAGCGGAAGAATGTATATATATATATGTTGTTTCCAGTACAGTTGTGAACATGTTGGTAAGAATTAGATGAGCACAGGTTTAGTTCCTGACTTCAGCCATCAGATGAATTTGTTCAATTACGTCAGCAGCTAGAAATGTGCTGCCATACATCAAATCACAATGGACAGTATATTTGTATGTATTGTTTTTATTTTTTAACAAATAAACACCTACTGTCCGAATAAATAGCTTTACATATTTTCTCAGATGCCTTCTGTGCAGTACTGTATACACCGGTATGTACGTGTGAGCTCTCATTTAACCCTTTTTTCTTCATCCATATCAGACCTGGGTAGCCAAAGACCCGTTCTATGACCGCATGGATCTGTGCAAGCAGCTGAAGGGTTTCCACATCCGCACCATCACCATCAACAGAGTGCTCGGCTACATCAGCACTGGGGAGTACAAGAAATAAGCCTGCATTGTCACTACTATCATCATCATCATCATCATCATCCTAAATCTCATTTCCTAACGTTCTTTATTTTAACCCTAACCATGACTATGTGAAAGATCCAACTCTGCACTACTGTTTTCTCCACATATCGTTCATCCATTTCAGCCCTGTAATGCTACAAGAACTGCTCGGTATGCAAAAAACTTTTGCATAGAAAATAATGTATAAGCTAGCTACGTCTCCGCGGAGATGGAGACGCTGTGGTGCCTTGATGTATTTATCTTTTTCCATGGTGGTTATTTAAATTATTTCTATTTATTGTAATAGAAAACTATTTATTTTTCATGGTGCATGATGTACCTTCTTATTTATTGACTATTTATAATAAATGTCTGTTTGCAATAATTAAAATGTGTAAGCTTTCTGTGAAAGAAAAAAAAAACGTTTTGGTATGAGGGGATACTATAAAGCCCTTGTGATGCTTTTGGTAAACATAACCAGGCCAGTTGTTGGTGCTTATTAGCACATTATTAAGCAGTTACTAAGGTGAAATAAGCATTTTACAGAGCATGTTTATTTGTATTTCCAGCATAATCTTTAGATGTTAGGGGTCCATTATTATGCCCTTTACCAAGACAATAGCTGGTAATTAACTTATCAAGCCAATAGCTTGATTAAGCACTCAACTGGCTGCTTATTACTACATTATTAAGCAGTAACTACAGTAATTTTAGAATTTTTCCAGAGCTTTTTTAATTTATACGTTATATGGTGTTGTAATGTTCAAGTCTTAACACCATGAATTATTGTTCTCTGCTGTGTCTCAGGATGAAGGGAACTTTCTTTCTTTATTTATTTATTTCCATAATACACAAACTAAAGTGCTCTGGAAATTCCTTCTAACTACTACTTAATAATATAGTGATAAGCAGCATGATGGCTTGATAAGGCTTAATAAGAGCACTACAATGCTTAGTTCATCTTAATTACTACTGCAGTAATAAGCAGCCAGTTGATCTTATTAGCTGGCTATTTTAGTTTACCAGCTATTGTCTATTTTATAAGGCTTAGTAAAGACAGAAGAGCAGACAGATAAAATGTTATGCGAAAGAATATCGCTGCTGTTGGAACAAAACCTCGTATCTCCAAAATAGTAACTTTACAGGAGAAGCAAAAAACCTTCTTTACTTTTAATGTAAGTCAATGGAACCAGAATTTTGTCCAAGTTGTTTTGGGCTGTTTCTTTTTGTCCATCCATTGTGAAATTTATACACAAAGTGAAGAGCAACAGGCATTTTCAGATTCTGGCAAAAACTGAAAAACGACAAAAATAGAGACACAAATGGAGTTTTGTTCCTACAGCAGCAATATACTGTATAATAAAAAAACAAAACTGTCCTGGAATAAAATGATTATTTTATCGTTGTTATTGCTTAATGATGTACTAATTAGCTAAATTAAATGCACGAAAGAAGAGACAAAATTCACAACACAAAACCAAAGCACACGTCATACAGTCACCACAAGCTGAATCAGTTTCGCTTCACTTTAGACTCACCACAGAACACAATGAACTCCACATAAGCAGCAGAACTGCTCACAACGTTTTTATTTTTAGAAATAACGCATTCAGTCACAGCCATGTCGTCACATATAAACAGTCCAAATAAAAATGAACCCTGAGCTTCCCTGTATGTGTGAAGTTGTGTAAAAAGCTTTGTTGACCAGGTTGCCAGAGACAGCTTTATGAATGTACATGATTTGCATTGAGCTGAATAGATTACAGAACAACTACTTAAAGGGCCCATATTCAACGTTTTGGTACTCAATTTGATCCTTATTACATCAGTGCTTTTGGGTCAAACAGTGTTAATTCTTTTCATTAATGACAGTTTTCCATCCTCTCTTTATCCCTAATAATGACAGACTGTGCCTGTAGGACTGATGTATGTAAATGAACTGGCAACTTTAACAGTGTTTACATACAACCTACCACATCAGACCCTCTTTTTCAAAAAGACAAAGACGTTTAGTTTTTCCCACATGGGCTCTTTAAGAGTGTAACAGTCCATTCATGGTTTTATTGCTAACAATACAGGAATGCACCATAATTGATGTGTAATACAGTACGAAAAGTATTAAGTGTTGAAATTTTAGGGTAAAATTTTACCAATCCCATATTTTGGTTTTCTTTTTAGAAAAAACAGTGCTACAAAAGTTGATATGCTATTCATTCATACAAGTGAACGAACTAAATCTGAGACCAAATCAGACAAGAGCTTGAAATATTTGTCCGAACCTGAAGGGGCCCGAATACTCACATTAGGTTCCATAGGGTTCCATGAAGCCTGCGCTCAGAAGAAAATGGACGAAACAGCACAGCATGGAAAATTTATCTAGCTTAATTTTGGACAGCAGATTCATTTATCATATTGAAATATTTGATTTTTTTTCTTGATTCTATCTCTCTGTGATCTACTGAAGTCAGGACTTTGGGCCAGTTTGGGTCAGTTTTGGACCAAACGGTGTTATTCTCGAGTCAAAACTTGATGTGGTTCAGGTCGGGATTCCATCAGGTTCGGCTGTGGTTCGGATCGGAAGTTCACAGGCTGTATTTGGGTTCGGACCAAAATTTCAGGCCAGATTAAAGCTCTACACCAGACTGCGCAGCAGTAAAAACTAAAGCTCTAGCAACTCACTCCCTTTCACTGCTAGGAACGCTACTCGGACTCTGTCTAAAAATTCCCTCTATTTTACACTTTACAAAAGAAGAAAAGGAAAGAAAATGTACAGAACAGAAAAACAAAAATATACAGATCAGCTTCTAGAGGCAGCATTTCCCTCACAGGCATCTCCACCCTCAAAACAGGTGTTAAAAAACAGCACGTAGTGCATAGTGTCCAGTTAAGGACATTTTGTGCTATTTAGTGGTCTGATTGAACACACAGTCACAGTTATTGTAGGCAATGATACCGTCCTGCTGTAATTTTTAATTATTTCTCCCCCAGAGCTCATTGAAATGAGCGAGGAAATTGTATGGAATGTGTAAGAAAAATGTTTTATCTTTTTGCCATGATTTTGTCGAAAAAAACAAAAGCAAAGACTCGAATCTGTCAATACAGAATGTAATTTCATTGTTAATTTTTCTAATTAATTATGTAAGTAAATATGTACAGTAGTGTGCAAACGTCAGAGCCCACCTTCACAGAAGGCTTAATATGCATCTGATAATAAATATATCAGATGTTTCAGTACTAGTGTGTCCACTCTTCACCTTTATTCCAGCTTCCATTATTTTCAGGAGACTCACTTTCAGTTTCTCAGAGAATCTGCAGAAACACCTCCAAAGTTCAGTCTTAGAAGTTGGTTTTGCACACAGTCTCAATAATCCCAATTACAAATGTAGGCTCCTAAAACATCACTCCACATCTCAGATGTCCAGTTTCAGTGTTTCTAGTGCAAATATTCATTTTAGTTTCCTTTTCTCAGTGAGGTTCTTCTTGTCAGCTACACATCCTTTCAGACCCACAGCGCTGAGTTGTCTTCTCACAGTGGAAGGATGGACAGAAACACCTGTGGATGTTTTCAGATCTGAAGCAGCTTGATTTTCTCCTCTCTCTCAAAGATGAAAACTTTAAGTGCTGTTTATCTGATGGGGGCAGTTTGGGTGTCTACCAAGTCTTCCAGGTGGTTGTTAGGAGTCCCAGGCTCTCTGCAACCTTTAATCATTAAAGGTTTAGGAACGTTTGGGATTATTGTCCCCCCATCAATTTTCCCATCAAGAACATACTAGCTGATATTGGACCCGCAGATTTATCAGTATTAGCGATATTCAAGTTTTGGAAGCTCTTTGTTTATTTTCCTTTGACTCTCTCCTTCCTTATGCAAGTGGATTATTTTATATCTAATCTCGCCTGAAAAATGAAGAACTGGTACTCAATGGCAGTTTGAAGTAAATAAAGGGGAATCTGACTTTTGCACAGAACTGTATGTAACTATATTCAAAAAGAAAGCGAAAGTAATGTTATTATAATGAAAGTAATTTAATAGCATAAACTAGATTATATCATATGTTCATCTGGCCTCAAAAAAATATGTTAACATAGTGGTAAAACAGAAAATATGCTGTTAATTAACACGTTTTGAGAGTGTATAATGATTTACATGATTTACAATAAAAAACAAAGTACATGTTACCAGTGCTCTTTTGTGCCACTGTTGGGAACTCATTGGTCCTTGAGATGAAGTCTTTGAGTTAACTCTCCAGGTCGCGACCCAAAAATATAACCCTAGTGTAATAAGTAAACATGATTAGGTTTTCCTCTGAGTCTGAGTCACCACAATGTTCGTAAACACAAAGAGTTTCACTTTTCCATTTGGGGAAAAAAAACAAGAACATACAATGAGAAAACAGCCATGTCATGATGGAAGCATATAACAAAGTACACAGCATATAACAAAGTACACAGAGAAAATATTCACTCAAGTAGAGTTCTAATGGCTTGCTTTGGAGCACCGTGTCACAGTAGGTAATTACAGCTGCACAATATCCCTCATATGAGGATGAATTCAACTGGCCCGCCTTTGGGATTATTGTCTTCCCATCAATTTTCCCTTCATGAATATACTGGCTAATAACAGACATTTATCAGTATCAGCAATATTTTTTTTACTGGCTTAAAAATGTAACGATTCAAGCTTATACACCCATAATTACAAAGACTGCACCCTCAGTGCAGGCTGAACAGGTAAATTAGGGTCCAGGCGATATGAAATTTCTGTGGCCGATATCGAAACGGATTGAAAGGAGTGTAAAAAATTCCAATAACCGATATTATTGGCCGATATCATTGAGACTTTAATTTTATAACTCAGCAGTTTTAAACAGTGCTTTACTGACTGGTATGACTGTTCTGAGTGGTCTTTTCTAAATACAAACAGCTGAGACCAACAGTCTTAAATATTGTAGATACCCAGCATTCTTTGCAATTTTGGCTTCTGTTAATTACCTCTTGTTTTCATATATTTCATTATTTCTTTTCATAATGAAAAAAGGTTTTTTATAACTTCTTATTCTTTTGCAGGGGTTAGATTTAGAGACATTTTTATGTTTTTTATTTTGTTATTATTGTAAGATGGTGTTTTTGTGTTCTGATCATCCAGTTCAGTCCGTCTTGCGGTGAGACAGTTCACCAGAAGGTGCCTCGTGTTGGGTCGTTCGCAGTTACAGACAGGAGGTTCGATTTCTGCCACGTTTTCATCAATATTGTCCAACTGATGTGACAGAGAGATTTTAATCTGAAAACAAAACCCCACCCATTATGGCTAGAATAATGAAAACATGTATCCAATCCTAAAGTTTAGCATTACCATGTTGCGATTACATGTTATAATACAAAAAACACCTTTCTATAAAGAGAACTAGCTATGATAAAACCATAGCTAATAACAGAAACCAAACCTGCAAAGGATTGTGGGAAGCTACACTATATGTGAAAGTCATTGTGAGTTCCTGCTGTTTAAGAAATGTGAAAGCTGAGGATTGGCAGTCATACTGGAATTTTATTTTACAACATATTGGCTGATATTATTGGTTATCCAAATTTTTACCTCCTTAAAATCGATATCAGTATCGGTCAGTATAAATGTCATATCGATCAGACCCTAACCAAAAGGAATGATTCGACTGACCTTCCTCAAATAGTGGTCAAAATGAAATGAGTGAAAGTTGGTCAGGATGATTAAGAAGGGACCGTTTTGAAACAGGGCGGTTTACCAGTGGTTGAGTGACCCATGTTGGAGACACAAACAAGCTTCAAGTTTAAGGTTTGAGGACGCTGGACGGAAGTGATCAGACCTCAGTTCATCAATGATCTGTCCACTTTTTGCATCCACCGGACTCATCAAGGGGAATTACTTATTTTTAAGCATGTCTGGGGAGAGAAGAGAGAGAAAGGCATAGAGGTAAAACTTACAAAATCATGCATACAATGTGAGAGATGGACATTTATTTATGCTACTCAAATAAAATCCCAGAGAAAAAAGTATTTTACATTGTAATGAATAAGAAAACTAAATCCTAGAAGCGTTATTTGTTTATTGCACACAGTTAGCATAGGTGGTCATCTTACTGTTTGGTTTATTTAGTGAAACTCAGAAATTTGTCATATTTATTTTTTTAATATTTCTTTATACACTTCAGCTTAGATGTCACCATTTCAGATGCAATATCAGCTGTTTTTGACTGCACTTGACTGTTGCACAGTCAGTCAAACCCTAGTATTTAACCCCTTCTTTTAATGTTCAAATCCTAACGCATATTTTTCAGTAATGGAATACCTTATTATACGTAGAGTTATTGTCAAGTTATAGGAGCAAGAAATGGATATATGGACCCACGATGCTTCCTTGAATGTTAAAGCTTAAGGGAACACCATATTTTCTTTCTAAGTAGGTTGATCTTGCTGTTGTGGGTAAACAACATACATGTGCAAAGTCTGTCCTGTGAATAACTTTTCAATGTTCTCAGCCGATGGATTTTACCAAAATTTGAAGTGCATCGGGTGGTCCTAATCTTGGGTCACACATACATAAGCAGTGCCCTCACCAATCACAAGGCTGTGTTCGCCAACAGTCTCTCTGTGTTTGAGCTGGAGAAACTTGCAGAGCAAAAGCTAACAACCAAGCGAAAGCTAGTGAAGCAAACCTAACTGAGATATCAAGCTGGCTCATCACTCACCCTGAAGTAAGCTGATGACTTCGTTAGGCACGTCGTTGTGGTTGAGTTTCATAAGGAGGTGCGTGACTCCAGCTTCTCCTTTGGGCTGCCTTCTCCTCCACAAGTCCAGCATGTTGAACTTCATCATCGTCAGGTCCTGCTCCTTGGACTCAATCAGGTCTTCCAGGACAAGCTTGGTCAAGTCCAGGTAGCTGATGGCTACTGTCTTCCACTCCTTCCCCATGCATTTAGCCACCAACATCAGCTGCTGGTCTGTCATGTCTTTGGTTGCTCTGGGACCGTCTGAGGAGAAGGTGACGAGTTCCGTCCAAGTGATGCACAATTTAAAAGAACGGAAAAAGATGAAAAAGAAAATTTAACCTTAAATGTGGAGTATATGTTCAGTGTAAAGTGCACAGATAACCAGACAAACAAATTCTCAGTGTTCAAATTCCCCAAATCACTACTTGGCTGTTCATCATGTTCTGTCACAGGGAGTCAGTGAGGAAACATATTGGCCCACAAATAAAACACTTACTTTGCAATGATAAAACATGAGTGCATTAAAGTCAGCATTGATGCAGAAATCACAATACATTTTCCTTGTGTCCTCCTTGTGTCCAAAAGTTTGTAGACACCCCTTCTAATTAGTGAATTCAGCTACTTTAAGGTGCACCCATTGCTGACATGGGAGTTCAAGGTCACCTAAGGTCACCATGCTCACTGTCAAGCGTGGGCTAGAGGGGTATAAAGCCCCCTAGCAGTGGAACTGTGTTCTCTGGAGTGATGGAGCTCCATCCAATACTTTTGGGATGAGTTGGAGATAGGGCTGCCCACCGCTCCGGGCAAGTGTGCTCACTGCCCCCTAGTGTGTATGTGGTGTTTCACTGCACAGATGGGTTAAACTGTGGGGGTGAAATTTCCCCATTCTAGGACTAATAAGGGTCACTTAAACATATGAGCTAATATACATATAAAATGTACATATATTTTTCCTCCAGATGCGACAGATTCTTAAAAGTTGTCAGAATGCATGTCTATTAGAAACCCCCAACATGATCTTTCAGAGCACTTGTTTTGGGGAAATGTGTCTTCTAACTAATGATTTATGATTTTAAATTGCTTTAAGTATGTTGTGATCCTCTATTCCAGCATGAGGCAATTACTTCCACAGAGGATATTAATCAAGATTTTAATAAGCTCAATCTGTCATTATAATTTTAAGGACAAAATTTGCATTCTTATATTTCCTCTGACACCCTTATATAATCATCAGAGCACAGTTAAGTGCTTATAAATATGCAAAATTCTAAGTGATAATCCGTCTTAGAACATTAATATGCGCATTTAAAAAATAAACAAATACAAGGGTAAAAACAAACTAATAATTTTTTGATAAGGCAGTGAAATCTGTTTCTAGTCACCACTTACATCAGGTCCATGTCCATTTTTATAGACTCATTTAATACCACTGCGTATAATGTACATTTCTGACCTCCGAATGCCCAGACAGTGTTAGTGAGTTAGCCAACAAACAAATTCAAACGGTCACCTGACTCATCGCCCCATCGAGCTCTTTTATTGGCCAGCTCCTCCTCTGATGTGCTGCTGCTTCGTTTCCGATCTGTCAAGAAGACGCCAGGAATGCGCCAGTCACTCCACAGGAATTTGCACTGTACAGCATTCGGTCACAATATAGAGCTTACTTTCTCATCTACTGTGTGATTTCACACCTGAACATGGCCTCACCTGTTTTAGAATATAAAGGCTGTCAGTTAGTCTGTACTTACTCTCTCTTCGCTTCTGAGTTTTTTCAGCACTGTTGTCCACACAGTCTCCTGTAAAGCAATCCGAATAAAAAGCCTCAAGTAAGAATATGAGGAAAAGCACAAAGCCCAGGCACATGTATTATTACTCCTTGGTTTAATTTACACTGCAGAAATTCTTTAAATGAAGTGAAAGCAAAGCAAAAAAAATAGAGATGGCACCCATCTGATAACTTGTATCAGTAGCTGGCTGATAGCAGCAGAAAATACTGCATGATATTTTAGAACGGAAGAAAAGAATGAATCTGATTCTGTAACAAATGTAGCCTAGAAAAGAAAAGAACTGCTTGCAGCACAATAACCTAAAGCAAAGTAGGCAGATAGGTGGTAACAACAATAACTACATGAGAATTTCACAAGATAGCAGTAGCCGTATAGTCTGTTATCATGAGAACAAGTGCTAGCAGCACGGTAAGACGTTTTTGTCATATTGCTGTTATTGGAAAAAAACCTCGTATCTCCAAAATGGTAACTTTACAGGAGAAGGAAAAAACATACTTTACTTTTAATGTAAGTCAATGGAACCAGACTTTTTTCCAAGTCATTTTCGGTCATTTCTGTAGGTTCATTCTTTATGAAATTTACAATAGGCAGTTTCAAATTATGTCAAAAACTGAAAAATGACAAAAATGGAGATACAAGGTTTTCTTCCGACAGCAGCGACATATTCATAAACCTGTGCTGTTTGCACATTTCACTGCATAGCAGTATTTAACGCAGATTTATTTAATATATATTTATTACTACAGCTACAGTGATGGTACTTTGTACTATTGGATTTACACAGCTAGCTAATGTCTAGGGCAGGGATGTCCAAACTTTGTGTCTTGAGGGGCAACGTTTGTGGTGGGCCAAGGGTCAAACAGACAAAACACAACATGCAAAATACACATAAAGAAGGCAGGTAGGTTTCAAATCCATTTTTTTATGTCCAGAATTTTATAACATTACACTATATTTTGCTACTAAAATACTTCAAAAATTGAATTTTAAAAGCAAAATAAAATGTATTGTTATATATAGTATATAAATATATCCTCTCATTAGGGGAGGGGGTGTGATTACGGTAGCTATCTGAGAGGCCAAATCAAACGTCCTTACAGGCCAACTTTGGGCAGCCATGATCTTTGAGATCTGCACCCAATTATCACTGGTGTGTTTTCACTGTTCATACTGGGTTTAATATTAACGTTAACAATGTTTTTATATAACAATCTTTGCTTTGTATGTTGCAGTTTTTCTGTTATTGATTAGTTACTGTTAGTCTTATTCAAAAAGCAGCCCTGGCTGAAACACTCCTTATAGCTTCACAGTAAATGGGTGGAGCTAAAGTGTTGCAAGCCAAATTCGTCTGTTACATCAAAGCAAAAACATTCTTCGCAGCTTATATTTTTCATTAACAGACTGTCTGGGCTGGGGAGTGAACGGTACGTTTTAAATCTGCAATGTTTACATATGACATCAAATTATTGTATTCCAAGAAAATGAGAAATATTCAGTTTTTTCATTTAAAATCAAACCTGTCCTATCCCATTTTTATAGTGCAGGTTCTGTGGGTCTCCAGGACTCGAACCTTCATCACAGAGAACACTGACTTACTCTCCCGAATGGTAGCTGACCACACAGTTTGCTCAGAGTCGGCCTCCATCAGGGAGAGCTTGAATGGAGGACGCTGCTCAAAGAATGCCTCGAAGTAACCCTTCATCTTCACCACCGCTAAGGTGAACTGGATATCCTGCACAGACACACAGAGAACTGTTCAGAAAAGCAGACAACACAGGTGAAACAAGTAAATGTAATGTAAGAGGAAAGCAGCAGCGAAGATAAACACAATGATGCATCATAATGGATCCATCTAAGAGCAGAGGCTTAACTGTCTCGACAGCAGAGATTTGATTGGGAATTGATTATAATGAGTTTGTGCTGTTTTTTTTGGCCAGAATGAAATTCTGCTTTTTCAGAATGACATAAAGGCTAATTTCAAATGTAAGATTACAAAAGAGCTTTAATTGCAATGTATTGTATTCAGCTACTGTGTAAATGGGAGAGGGGAATCCTCAGCGCCATCCAGACCTTCTGGAAAAAACTACTTATTTCTGTAAAATAAAAAAAGTCTGTAATTTTCCATTTATTTTTAGATAATTATATAATTTTTATATAATAATATAATAATCAGCTCCACTTACTATATAGGTGCACTCTGTAGTTCTACAATTACAGACTGTAGTCCATCTGTTTCTCTGCATACTTTGTTAGCCCCCTTTTACCCTGTTCTTCAGTGGTCAGGACCCCCATTGACCCTCACAGAGCAGGTACTATTTGGCTGGTGGATCATTCTCAGCACTGCAGTAACACTGACGTAGTGTGTGTTGCGCTGGTCTGAGTGGATCAGACACAGCAGCGCTGCTGGAGTTTTTAAACACCTCAGTGTCACTGCTGGACTGAGAATAGTCCACCAACCAAGAATATCCAGCCAACAGCATCCTGTGGGCAGCATCCTGTGACCACTGATGAAGCACTAGAGGATGACCAACACAAACTGTGCAGCAGCAGATGAGCTATCGTCTCTGACTTTACATCTACAGGGTGGACTGACAAGGTAGGAGTGTCTAATAGAGTGGACAGTGAGTGGAGAGTCCTCTCTGCTTCTGTATTCTTTGTGGAGAAATTGTAGCTTCTCTTGATGCTCAGAATGAATTGAGATAATAAATGTCTTGTCTAATGCTCATCATCGAAACTGGGAAATAGATTAACACGGCCAACAATTTCATTGCTGATCTGATCTGATAAGTGTTACACTTTGACAGTTAATTTTATTTTATACTCTTATTTAATCTTTTTTTGTCCACAACGTTCAACGTTCTCTTTTGAGCCTTTTCAGCCAAAATGTTTTGGTGGCTGAAATTTCAGTGCATTCCTAGCTGTGAGGTCAGAGATCTACACCCCTAGTTTTAGCGTAATCAGTTCTGTGAGCTATTGGCAGGGTTGGTTAGTGTAGACACCTCTGGGGTGATGTCCCCCTCTGAGTCGCTGATCAGACGGTACTTTCTGTTCTCTTCCAGCAGCTTCTGGCATATGGGCGGCTTCTCTATCTTCATGTACCTCTTCTTCGAGGTCCTCACCTCCTTCCGAATGTCCTGCAACACAAAGAAACAATACATTCAAAATGTGCACCCATTGTTGACACACATCATATGTTCATAGCTTGTATAACATCCATAGAAAAGCATTGAGTGATAGAATGGGATGCCCTGGAGCAGCCACACATAGCAGTCTAAGGACACTGTGCCCAACACCAAGCGTGGACTAGAGGTATAAAACCCCCCCAGCATTGGGCTGTGAAACAGCGACCTGAGTTTTATAACTTTATCTGCACAAAATCAAACTTATGCCTGCTGTTTTTCTTTTTTTATAAAGGCGCAGAAAAAGCATGACAAATACTAATATCTAATCATTTTGGAAATAATTTTGGAACATATATAACCTTTTTATAATAGGCTTAAAGTGCCCAGATCCTACATTTCTTTGCATTTTATTTTTCCTCATTGAGGTCCACTTATAAAGTTAGTGTTCTTTTATGCATCAAAAACAGTCATAACTCATTTTCATGACTTTAGATTTAAACACGCTTTTTGTTACTGCTCCTTTATGACTGATTTATTTAAATGAGCTCTGTTTTGATTGGCTGTCCTATTTTTGTGTCTGATTCAAAAAGCTGAAACACTCCTTATAACTTCAGCGGGAATGGGCAGGGCTAAACTGCAAAAGCAAAAAAGCTACAAAAGCTTTTGATACTGACGACCACAGTCTTCTTTTGGGATACTTGTCCAATCTCAGTGTGTGGTACTGGGTAGCCATAAATCAGATTTAACTCCTATAACCAAAGGAGTCCCACAAGGCTCAATTGTAAAAAATCATATATTTATGTATCACCTCAGACTGCAAAGTGCACTTGTGCACAGATGAAACGATTTTATACTGTTTATGCAGTATGCACCGAATCTGCTCATGCAGCAGTAGAAAAACTCCAGTGCTCACTTAACGCCTTATAGACTGCTCTATGCAAACACAAAGTAGTTTTAAATGCCAAGAAAACTAAGCTTATCCTGTTTTACAGATCTTCAAATATTGATTTGAATACAGTCACTATTACTACCCTGACAGGATCCAGCACAGAGTCTAAGTACTGAGGCATTCACTACAGGAGTGTCTAAAACTCGGCTTGCTGTGTTTCTCAGTCATTTCAAACTTATGGTCTCTAGTCACCTTCAGACAGCCGGTAATTGGTTTAGTTGAGTTGAACTTTTCCTTCTCTTTTTTTAATTTAATTTATTAAATTTTTTCCCAAGCATTTTATTTTATTTTATTTTATATTACTATTACTGTTTATTTTCATTCATTTCTATTACTTTTTATAATCTTTTTATTTGACCATTTCAAATTTTAGTTTTATTTTATTTTTCCCCTTCTTAGTTAAATCTTAATTGTTCTCTTCATTCTTCTGCCATTTGTCTTGTTTGATTTTACTGTTGATTTGTTTATGTAGTTCTGGTCATTTTAGTTTAACCTGACTAAATTCCATTTTAATTTCTATTATAATCCCCTTTGTTATATATGCTCAGCTGCTTTCAAATCAGGGTCATCCTCAAAGCATTTTCAAGTAAAAATGAAGGTTGATTGATTGACTGACTGATTTATTGATTAATTGACTGATTGAATAATGGATTGATTGATTGATAGAAACATGTTGTGGACAATTCCATTTTTCATGACATGGGCCCTTCAATGGAGCATTAGGCTAGGTTTTGGATGGGCTTCCTCCAGCAGAGCCTTCAAAGAAGAGGTGTGGCTTAGCTTTTCTGACACAATTTAATGCGTTAATGCTCATTTGCCTTTGTTCTAATGTATTTGTATTATTCACCAGATAATATACTAAAAAGACAGCAATAGTCTTTGTAAAGTCTACACTACACTATTGAGGGGATGCCAGGAAATTCAACATGAGGGTTTCTGTTTTCAAAGAAACTTCAAACTTTAGCCTTACAGCAAATCAGCACAGAGCGGTAAAAGTGACCGCAGGAAAAAAACACTCCGCTGCGTGACGCTGTCCGGCAGCCTGCATCATCCCCCCCCGCTCTGAACCTTCCCCACATTTAGGTTTGGTGCGAAAACCACAAAGAGCACACTAATCACTCATCCACAGCTGCGTCTGGTTACAGAGCTTATTCATCAAAAGATTTACGCTCATGTCAAAATGTTCATAAACATCTTAGCATATTCATCAATCAAGTGTGCTGCATCATACTGTGACAATGAATGAAGGCTGATGACATTTAGCAGGTGATTTACAGAGGCAGGTGACAGTAGTATTAGTAAGCACTGCTCTGGTCTCCATCTGAGTATTTTACAGTAAAAGCGTCCATGCAAATCTGGAATTAGCCACAGAACTCGCATGAGGTCAAATGAAAAATTTCTACCTAGGGCAGAGCGGTGAAGATCAAATTCAGTTTTATGACAAATACTCCCTGAATAACAGTGTAGTTTTTCTTACAATTGATGAGCCCATGCTTTCTGAGTGCTGGCATTACAATATATGTATAGGGGTAGTCGTGGGTTGGAGCTGGAGCCTAGTGATCGGAAGGTCGCTAGGTCAATACCCTCGAGCTGACAGGACATGACTCAAGGCACCTAACGCCCAACTGCTCCCTGGGTGCTGTGGATAGGGCTGCCGACCGCTCTGGGCGTTCACTAGTGTGTATGTGGATGTTTCACTGCCCAGATGGGTTAAATGCTGAGGTGAATTTCCAGGATGTATCGAACAAGAAGTGGTAATCAAATCTCACAGTTTTTGAACAGAGTAACAGCTGAAATGTAATGGAAAACATATTCATGTTTCTCTAATAAACATATTATTAGGTGTAATACTCCCTCATTTTTATTAATCATTTAATAATAAATTACCTTTTGGTGTCTAGATTATAATATCTGCAGTATTTTTTTAACAAAATAACACCAAATGTTAAAAAGACATTTGATTTCAAACTTTTTTAACTGCAGTGTAAGCTGTATGACTAACAAGGGCCAAGACAATGAAAAGCAATATCACGGAATACCATCACAGTATAGCGGTGTAGACAATGCTGTGTCTGATCCTCTCGTACCAGCACAACACACCACCACCACCACAGTGTCACTGCAGTGCTGAGAATGATCCACCACCCAAATAACACCTGCTCTGTGGTGGTCCTGTGGGGGTCCTGACCACGGAAGAACAGGGTAACAAAGTATGCAGAGAAACGGATGGAACCACAAAGTGCTCCTATAGTACAGTAAGTGGAGATATATATATATATATATATATATAGAGAGAGAGAGAGAGAGAGAGAGAGAGAGAAAGAGAGAGAGAGAGAGAGAAAGAGATAGATACATGTATATATAGATACATATATATATACATATATACATACAGCTCCTTATGCTATGTTTCTCCCAGCATAATTACACCATTCCTCACTTGTGACGCGTCATTCGCGAACGAGTCACCCTTTAAGAAGCTGACTCGCATTGAGGAGCCTTTTTGTCTTAAATCAAGACCTACGAATGGTTTATTATTCCCAGCACTTGCTTTCGTGTTAGTTAGTTCTTCGCCATGTTTCCAAGTGTGCCTCGCTAGTTATTCTGATTTTTGACTTTGACCTGCCTTGTTAGTTGATGACTGGTTGATGGTTTTGCCTGCATTTTTCTCATCTGCTTGTCTTGTGAGTCCCGGCTCTCAAAATTGATCAAGTCAATTATGAACATCTAACTTTTTTTGTTTTATAACAAATATAATGCAATTTTCGTTAATTAGGCAAGGCAAGTTAATTTACATAGCACCTTTTATACACAAAGTGCTTTAGAAATGAGAAAATAAGACAGAGATCATTCAAGTTAGAATTTAAAATGTTGAATGAGAAAAAATAAATTAAATTAAAAATTAAATAAGCAACCGTCTAAGCGTTGGCTCTGTCATCAGGAGATGGCGAGTTCAATCCCTGGTCTTGCTACAGCCATCCGTTGCTCGGGAGTCCAAGAGAGCACAACTGGCCTCACTCTTGCTGGGTGGGTATGATGGCCCCCCTTCTCCCCCATCACTCAGCGTGATGCTAGTCAGCTTAGGTGTCTCTCAGCTGACGTAACAGATCTGGCGGTTGGCACTTTCCTCCGGGTGTGTTTGGCCGTCCAGTGACGTTGCGTAAGCGGCAGTTCGAAAAGATGCGGAGACGCTTCACAGATCTCGGAGGAAGCCTGTGCTAGCCTTCTCACTCCTAGCACTGGTAGTATAGTGTAATTGGGGGCGTCTAATTAGTGGGTGGAATTGGAGATGACTAAATTGGGGAGAAAATTGGGGAAAAAAAAAACATTTTTCCTTATTTTAATTTTAATTAAATAAGGATAATAGAGTGGTGTTAGAGGAGAGAACTACAGAAGAGCTAAGAGCAGCAAATAGGAACGTTTTCAGGCTGGATTTAAAGTGTCCAGTGTCAGGGCTCTTCTAATGCTCTCTGTCAATTGGTTCCATTTAAGAGCAGCACAGTAGCTAAACGCTGCTTCTCCTTGTTTAGTCTTTACCTCCGGCAGGACTAATTAACTAGTTCCTAACGATTGGCTCATAACGCTGCAGTAGATCAGATAAATACGCTGCTCCTGCACTATCAAGCCATTTATAGAAAGTAGAAATAGAAAGTAGACAAAGGTTTTATTAAAAAACAAATGATAGTGAGCTGAGCCAAATGATCTGACTCATTGAACAGAGCCGCAATGCCCATCAGTAACCGTCACAGCCCTAATGCTGTGTTCACTGCAAAAACTCATATGACAATGAATATAAAACAAAGACAGCTCTGCTTGTGAATATGAATGACACAAATGCCCACATACACCCACACACACTGAGGAAATACACTGGATCACACCAGACAACAGCAGAGGAGGAGGGTCTAAAACTGTTACCAAATCATCACAGCACAGCTTGACGACTGAGTGTTTTTCCACTATGATGAGTCCGTAATTGATCGCGTCATCATTACATCATCACACAACAGTGTGTTACACTTTTAGAGTTAACATTTGTGCTTTGAGCCACTAATTCTCAAATGTGATTACAGACAAACTGTTTTTCCTCTCAAACTGATCTTTCCCAATAACAGCATTTTATTGTACTTTATAGCCTTTTAACATATTTTCATAACATATAAGTCAATTTTTGGCAATTAAGTTAAACTTAACTACTCATATCGTGTAAAACCAAATTTTCCTTGATTTTTTGGAATTAAAGAGTTCGATGTAGTGTGCAAACGCTTTTAATGTTACCACACCATCACTCCCCAGTCCATAAGGTCCATCTATGGAAACTAAGCTGCAAAAACAGCCCATTTTGAATTCACTGTTTTTGTGATGTCATGAAAAACCAAAACATTTATCTAAATCTATCTATTTAACATACAACACTCTCGTTGCATCAATAAATAAGGAATAAGGAATAAGGAATGTTTCAACCTGAATGAGGCACAATACAGGGCAGCCAATCAGAACAGAGCTCATTTCCATATGCCATTCTAAGGGATAAAGAGAGTAACATGGAAAATGGTTGTGTCAAAACTTATTATGACCATTTTGGCACCTAAAACCACAAAAATGTTCTAAGTGGACTTCTTACAATGTACAATATGGGCTTCTTAAGCCTACTATGAAAATGTTACATTCTTAAATCTCCAAAATGATTATATATTAGCATTTTTCATGCTTGTCTGTGCCTTTAAATGATCCAATTCTTTAATTTATTTGTTTAATTTAAATAATTCACGTAAAACATCATATATGTCATATTGCACACTACTGAATAGGATGAAGCGTGCTGCCTTACATTGATGTCAGAGTCGTTGTTAGAAGTCAGGTAGACCCTGAAGGAGTACGAGTCCGGCTGGCCCACCTCCTTATAGACCAGGACGACCCCGTGGTGCTCTGCTGGCTTAGTGGTCTGAACGATGGGCCCGACAGGAGACAGAGAGGACACGCTCCACTTTATGTGGTTGCGAGAGTGGTCCACCGATGGTTCGATGAGACCCTGATTGTTCTTTACATGAAGGACACTGAATTTGACCTCACTCTCCCGGTCTAATGAACACAGAGGAAGACAATAAGGTTAAAGGAGAGGAGAGAGAAACAGAACATGCTCAGAAAAAGACTACAATCCCAAGAATAACCCAGTTAAAGTTATAATCAAAATACAATTAATAAAGCCATTTTTGTTTGAACGACATTCAGGGAACGCCTCCATTAAAGTTTTCAAATTCTTGTTGTAACTGTTCTTCCACACTCTTAAAGCAAAGGTTCTTCAAGGGTTCTTTAGTAAAGAATGGTTCTATATAAAACCTTTTTGAAAAGGGTTCTATATAGCACCCAAAACAGTTCAACTATTGTTACAAGCTTGACATCATACCAACAGAAGAACCCTTATGGGGCTATATAGAATCCTTTTCATCTGCAGCACATTCTCCATCAATCCAAAGAACCATTTCACCATGCAAAGAACCCGTCAATCACGCAAAGGGTTCTTTGAGTGTTCATGGTTCTATATAGAACCATTAAATTTACTAAAGACCCCTTGAAGGACCATCTTTTTTAAGAGTGAGCACTATAAACCAGAACAGAGAGATACACATATATATCGTTTATATACTAATGTACTAATTGTGTAGAATTTAGATGTACTAATGTGAGACGTAAAATAAAGTGAAGCTACAAAAATAAAGCAGTTATATTCCACAAAATTAAGATGACCTAAATGACTTTAAAAATGATTAGCACTTGGAATCTTTTTATTCTGTTCTGTGCTTTTTTCAACTTTATAAATTATCATACAAACATTTAAAATCGAAATGTAAATGTAGAAAACTTTAAATTATAAAATCATACAGGCACTCAGGAACTTTTATGCATAATATTTGTGCATTTTATGTATTTTAATAATGATATAGTAATAATATAATCTTTTTCAGAATTCAAATACATAATTACTGGCCAAATAGCTTCTTTAATTATTATTTTCTCAGGTGTCTAAAACTCTTTCATACTGTATATTTATTAATATTATATATAATTTGTAACTGTAGAACTACAAAGTGCTCCTATATGGTAAGTGGAGCTGATAAAATGGACAAGTGCAGATACAAGGAGGTATCTGCACTTGTATATATATATATATATATATAATATATATATATATCGCTTCTGTCGGAAGAAAACCTCGTATCTCCAAAATTATAACTTTACAGGAGAAGGAAAAAACCTACTTTACTTTTAATGTATGTCAATGGAACCAGACATTTTTCCAAGTCATTTTGGGTCATTTCTCTTAGTCCATTCATCATGACATTTACATACAATGTAAAGGACAACAACAGGTATTTTCAAATTGTGTCAGAAATTGAAAAACGTCAAAAATGGAGATACGAGGTTTTGTTCCGACAGCAGCAATATATATATATATATATATATATATATATATATATATATATATATATATATATATATATATATATATATAAATATTTAATATAATATTACATATTATATAATATATATAATATATAAATATATACAGCTCCTATTGCTATGTTGCTGCCAGTCTAATTACACCACTCTACATGATTTCACTAGTGATGTGTCGTTCACAAACGAGTATAAGTATACAGAGGAAGGCAGGAAAAGCAGGAAAGGTATATTATTGTTGGCTGTCATTGGCTGTAAATGCTGAGCCTGTACCTGCCAGGCAGAGTGAATGAGGGAACTGAATGGACTTGAGGATGGACGGGTCACAGTCCACATCAAAAATAGGCCCGGCAAACTTCCATGAATCATTCAGGTAGGTACCGAACTTGCTCCAGGAAAGAATACAGTAGCGGATCTGCACCTTCTGAGAGACCTCGAAAACCAGGCCTGTCAACGAGCACTCGTACACCCCCTCGTCCTCCAGCATCAGCCTGGCATGGAGCACAAACAGACTCACAGTAAAGGAGAAATACACAGAATGTTTTAAATACACACTGAAGATATATGACCCTTATAACTAGGACCCAACAAAGCTAACTGGGAAACTGTGCCTTATACCAACACCAAAAGAACCAGATATATCATTTAACACTAAAATTTTGCAAGAACAGACAAAGACATTTGTGTACAGATAACTTCCAAGATACACACAGATAAAATGAGCAGCAAGGGTTTTTTTCTGTGGAAAAGACAGAGATGGAGATGCTGAGTGCAGTACTTACAGAAGCCGACCTTTGGAGATTTTCCTGGGTGTGACAAGTTCATACTGAGGCCTCTGCAAGGGAAGTAAACACTGCTTTAAAGGCAGTAACTACTAAAACTGCTTAGTGTTTCTGTGTGTTTTGTGTTTGTGTCAGTTTATGTTCGCTGCATTATCAAAATGAGTTTTATTAACGCCCCCTATTGAACATGTAACAAATTACACCATTTTTCACCAAACTGGCATCTAGTATATAAAAAAAAAGAAATATTTTACATAGAGAGTTTAGTGTGTGTCAGGTATAATTTTTTTTTTTTAGTGAATCTAAATAAAGTAAAACATGATCACTCCCTCGCTGACAAGAGCTGACCAAAAAGTAGTTTGCAGTTTTCAAACTTGCTTGCCAGATTGGGCAGGACCCCTCGGAATAGCATTTTATGTTACTTATTAGGACAATAATTTTACTCTTTCAAGTTTCATTAATAAATACAAATTACATTAATGAAAAATAATTACAATCACAGCAATAATGATGATAATATTTTAAAAAAAAGTAATCTATTCATCATTAAAGAGGAACACATATCTTAAGCTTTCCTCATTCTTGTAATATGTTCAAATATTCAAAATTACATTTGATAGAATATCTGAAAATGAAAAATAATAAAATAATTAAAAAATAATAAATAAAGTAATATTTTTCATGTACATATCTGCTGATACTGATATATAAACATTAATAAAATGTAGAAACTAAATCCACCTGGGCCAGCACTATAAATAAATATACAAATGAAGTCAAATGAATGAAATGCAGATATTTTGGTGCAGTAACCCAGCGTCACCTACATTCTGTTCTTCTGGAGTACAATAATTATATTATCAAATATTGGTTTGAAAAATATTGGTCCAATCTAAATGTCTGTCCAACGTCCTAATAATTTTTTAAGCAAGTATCTGCGATACAATATCAACGTCCATCCCTAATATTATTATGGCCATATTTTAAAGTGCATGTTCTTATGTTAATTCACAATAACCTGAACTCAAACACTCTTGTCATAAAAAAAAATAAATAGGAATACAGTCATATGTATCCTCTACAGCCCATGTGTCAAACACAAGGCCCGTGGGCATGATAGGGCCCCTGACACAATCCTATCCGGCCTGCAAAAGTATTTTAATTTTCTATTACTATCAGCCCATTTCACAATGCACTGCACTACAGTCCCCAGCATGCACTGCAACGTAATGTGCTCCGACTCTCCTGCCCCCACAACAATCTATGGGACAGTGGTTTCGCATCAACTCTACACAATTCCACACCAGTCATGTCACCAAACGTAGCTGCAGTTTAGCCAATATAAACACTTAACGTCAGCTCAGCAGCTCAGAAACTGAGCCCAAGTCTTAATGAATGTGCAGTAAAGAAAGGATTCCAGGTGTCTAGTTTAAGCAGATAGGTAGGTTTAAGAGACTGACACCTGGGGATATTTAAATTTTGAATATTTCAAGTATTCATATAATATTTCAAGGTCTACTACATGTGACCATATTTTAATGCTAAAGTTTTTGCATATTTTAAAACTGCATATAAACAGTGGCCAGTTCAGGTTACAGTGCAACATTAATTAAAAATGAAATAAAAAGAAAAAAATTTCTCTGGCCCACAGATTTGTTGAGATTCTTTAATATGGCCCCTTTAGTGATTGAGTCTGACACCCCTGCTCTACAGAGAACACACTTCTGCACATTTTAATACACAGTTACTGTTAACTTACTGACTTTAATCTATTGGAGAAATAACAATTAAACGTTCCAATTAGGTTTTATTGGGAATGGGCTTTGTGAAATCATCACACACTTTCAGAATTTAATCCACAACTCATCCATACACTCACCTGAAGAGCTTGACATTTTTCACAGCAGTGTTTCAAGGAGTTTTCTAAGAACAGGAGAAAGGTGACAAAACACACTCAGAATTCACAAAATGCTTAACAGTATTAATATCTAGATGCTATTTTTGCTCAAAGAGAGCACAACCCATAATTTTCAACGATATTCCTCAAAGCCCTCCAGCCAGCAATTATAATAAAATAAAAATAATATTATAATTATGAAAAAAAGAGAATTTACCACTGTCTGTGGCCTTGGGCTCCTTGTCTGTTTCTGGAAAGAAAAATAAAAACAAAAACACAGCCACCCTTTACTGAGATGAAGCAATGCCAAATCACAGTCGAATAACACATGACTTTGTGACTTTGTTAAATGTGACCAAACTTTCAGAAAAGATCTCATGATCTCTCCGCTGCACCCATAATGATTAAAAAAGTGCAAAGTTGAAAGACATGACAAGTACGTATATTTAACGCTTACCCTGACTGAATTGCTTAGCACATGACTCCCCGTTTTCTGTAAGGGAAAAACACATGAATAAGGCAAAAAATGTGAAATTGTGAAATGTGAAGAGGTTGTAGACCTGTATTCAGCTGAAAACAGTACAAAAACAAGAATTTTAATGCATCAACTAAATAAGCCCATATATATCACTGTTGTCGGAAGAAAACCTCATATTTTTGACGTTTTTCAGTTTCTTACATCATTTGAAAACACCTTTTACCCTTTACATTGTATGTAAATTTCATGATAAATGGATTACAAGAAATGACCTAAAATGACTTTGCCTGGTTCCATTGACTTACATTAAAGGTAAAGTATGATTTTTCCTTCTCATGTAAAGTTACCATTTTGGGGATACGAGGTTTTCTTCCGATATATATGTTAGAAAAATATTAACCCTTGTGTGCTGTTGGGGTCTGTGGGACCCATCTTAAATGTTAACCAAAAGAAAAATGATGCAATTTATTATTATTTCAACCTCAGATTCCTTGGTCTTTGCTCATTTTCTGTGAAAAACATATAAACATATAACCCATTTTCAGTGCCTTCACACTGTTCACCCCCTACACATTTATATTACACATGTGGTGTTGGGTGAACCCGCGGGGAATAAAAGTGTGGAGGTGCTGTGTCCTTCACTCTGTTCTCCTCCTACATGGCCTGCTGTTAGTGTGTGTGTGTGCATGTGTTTGTATATATATATATGTGTGTGTATGTGTGTGTGTGTTTGTGTGTGTGTGTGTGTGAGGGTGGACAACATGGACAGACAGCTGACTGGCTACGGCTGCTAAAGGAGAACCCTACACTGGACACTTGAAATATTTTAAACATCTGGTATTTTTACATAAATTGTTATGGCTGTATTGATTTAAAAACCAAGAATGCAGTGGGTCCACCAGACCACTGAGTAACACATCAACACCACACAAGGGTTAAATATATAAAATTATTTTGATGATAAGTCTTGTCCCAATATGATGGAACCTGTGTTATGGAAACATTAAATGTCATTAGAAAAAAACAGGAAGGGCTTGTATGGCCATCTCAAAGAGTCCACATTGAAATCTCTTTTTACAGCTTCATTCGTTGCACAATGACTGTGTCACCGGTGTTACTCATGAAATGTTAAGTTGTTTCAACACTAGCATAAAATAACCTGAATGTAATATTTGTAATTCTCCACACGCAATGTAACGTGTCAGTGGACGATATTTTAGAAAAGCTCAGATTTCACGTGTCGCACAAGGATTGCGTCAGTGGTGTCACTCATGAAACATTTAGCACTTTCAAAATTGAAATAAGATAACAACCTAAATGTAATATCTGTGACTTTCTACATCGAGTGTGACTATGAAACTAAGGTGTCACTTGACAATACCGTAGAAAAGTCCAGATTATAGTAATTTTGTCAGTGGCGTTACAGTCATCTGTGTCACAGCTTTACTAAGGGTCAACTAAAAAGGCTGTTTTTCACTTGAATTACATTTCAACATTCATACCCTGTTTGTCACACATTTACAGAACAACTCAGCAGCTTTTTCATGAGTAAACAAGAGTAAACAAAGGAAACTAATTCCCAGTCAAGTCTGGTGCCTTGTTTGGGAAGTAGAACTTCACCCTGTGGTTTTCTGGAGTTGGACTCACCAATACAAAACCAACTAATGAGGTAAATTTACAAACTTAAGGATCAAAACTCACAGGAGTGACTTCACAGATGCTGAAAAAAATTTGATGTGAAGCAAGGTAAATTTACTTTGGTAATTAATTTGTTTTTGTCAGTGGTGCTACAGAGACACAAAATGTCCTTAAAAAACAGGAAGGTATTTTTAAAACTGGAAATGTGCCATAAACTTTGCACAGGCCACATACCTTATTTTTTCATTATGTTAAATTTAGTAAATAAACAGTAATTGTGCATTAAAATGTGCATCACTTAGAAAATTAACAACGCATGTCATTTGACCAGGAGTGCCCAAACTTTTGCACACAACAATATATGTGTGAGTGTAAAACCTAATAAATGAATCCTGATCAAAATAACTGCATTTGATAATAATACAGTGTTTCATTTTGTCTTACATTTTGAAAATCCACAAAACCCAAAATTTAAATTGTAAAAGTGCTACAGGGACATAAAATGTACTTAAAAAACAGGAAGGTGTTTTTGAAAGGCCTTTTGCATGAATATCTCAAAGGAAGAAAGACTAACTCTGAGAAGTCCACGATTAGTAAATTATCTTTTAACATTTCTGATAAATTTGGCTAAAATACTAACAGCTTCATGTGTCACACAAAGATTGTGCCAGCAGTGTCAGTTATTAAACATTATGGAATTTTAAAACTGAAATAAAATAATAGTATGAATGCAATATTTGTGATTTTCTGGCTCTGGAACTAAAGTAATAGTGGATATTTTAGAAAAGCTCAGATTTTTGTCATTTTGTCAGTGGTGTTACAGTCAGTAGAGCTCAATTTCACATCAACATTCATACCCTGATTGTCACCACAATGATAGAACAACCCAGGTGCTTCATGAGCAAAGAAAAGTAAAGGAAAGTTATCAAGTGTGGCATCACAAATGTGTCCAGGCTCTAATTCCCAGTAAAGACTGACGTTTATATTAGAAGCTGAAAGGTATTCCTAAAGCATTCCAGGCTCCAGGTGTTCCTACTGCACCACTTCCCTTCTTACATGTGGCGCTGTGGCTTAGTTGGTTAAAGCGCCTGTCTAGTAAACAGGAGATCCTGGGTTCGAATCCCAGCAGTGCCTTGCTTGTTGAGCAGAACTTCAACTTGTGGTTTTCTCGGGTTGAACTCACCAATACAAATCCAATTAATAAAGCAAATTTACACAGTGAAGGACAAACCTCCCAACAGGCTTTAATGTACATATGACAATACATAATTTTTAAACTTTCAACTAAACTACCACAATATACACTAACACTACATTAAAAAGCATGTCACAGGAGTAACCCAACAGATGTTGAAGTACTGATTTATGTAAAACAATTGTTTATATGCTTTTTTGTTTAGGTTTAAATTGAAACAAAAGCATTAAAATGATTGCCCGTCTCAAGTTTATAAAGATAACATTTATAAAGATACACATTGTCAGTGGACGATATTGCAGAGAAGCTCAGATTTTAGCAATGTAGTCAGTGGTGTTACAATCAAAGAATGGCTCAGGTTCTTCTTCCTGAGTAAAGAAAAGTAAACAAAGGAAACCTATCAAGGCGGTGTCACCGATAAAGACGGGTGCTCATGTGAGAAGCTGACAGGCGTTTTTAAAGCAAGAATGCCCGCACAAGGTGTGGCGCCGTGGCTTAGTTGGTTAAAGCGCCTGTCTAGTAAACAGGAGATCCTGGGTTCGAATCCCAGCGGTGCCTTTTTTTCTATTATGTTAAAATCTATATAATGGTTTTCTGGAGTTGGACAGAAGAGCAAAAGAGGTCCCACTTAATATTTTCTCTAATAATTGTGTAGTTACATGTGAACAACATATGCAACAACAATGTAACTACTAATGATTGTTACAGATGGAATATAGAAGTACAGCTTATGTTGTTAACATATGTAATTAAACATGTGTATACTTGTGTAAACGTGTAAACTTCAGTTTTGCCTCATGTAATTACACAAGTGTATCTTAATAATTGTAACAGTCTCTGTCATGAATTACACAAGGCTAGTAATACAAATGTAATTACATTTGTAATCAGACTGGAACAGCAGTTTTCCAGCAGTAAAAGGAAGTATGTAATAACTTACATTAAGACATTACTTACACTGTATCTGCCAGCTTTCCTAACATTTAGCTAATATTTATGTTGCTAGAGCTGTGACATTGTTAAGTCCCTTTATCTTAAAATGCAACTTTTATGACATCAATTAAATGTGTTGCAATACCTCTAAAGCAACGTCTATATTACCAATCCATTATTACACAATACCTACATAACAACTACACAGGAACTGTCCACTTATTTTAAAGTGTAACTTTAACAATACACTACAGGAAAATTCCTGTGTAGTTATTATATAGGTACACTGTAATTACAGAATGGTATAAATTAATGTGATATAATTAGGTTACCTTGTTACAACATAGTTATTTCACAGTAATTATGTAAAACATAAATGTAATGTTATGTAAAACATACTTCCTTTAAAAAAGACTTCTGCTGTGAAGTGTATCAAAAAGATACACTTGTGTAATTAAATGAGGCAAAACTGAAGTTGATACACATGTGTAATTAAATAGGCTTTACTTCTGTAATCTATCTGTAACAGTGACTAAATCATCAATAGTTACACTGTTGTTGCATATGTTTTCAAGTGTAACTACACACAGTTATTAGAGACACAATATAAAGTGGGAACGCAAAAGAAAAGCAAAGAACCGGTCTAACAAGATGGTTAAGGCAATAAGCTTAAAAGCATGCAATGTACATACAGCAAATCTCAACAATATGTATCAATTTGACCCTGCAATTTTGAAAGATCCTATCAAGCTGGAAGTGCACTATGTAATTCGATTTTATCTGAATGGAAAGTACAAAAATAATCTGTTCATTTCTTTAGTTTACAACATTAAACTGCAACCATAGAAAAATAAAGAAATATGGCATGTAGATTACTGTACATTGAACACTGATATGCTCTGTGCAAACTACACAGGCTAAACAATAAGAGTTTTACATGAGAAGTCAGCTTGTAGTTCTGCTGAATGTTCTCGCTGTACCAGTTTGATGGCATAGAGCCAAATGTGTTCCCTCTATGAGAAGGGTCATTTAAAGGTCACCAGAAGAGCACATGGTGACCTCCATTAAAAAGCAACAACAGTCGGTCTTTGTTTTTTTGGTTACCATTTAAACCAAATGGTTGATCACTTACAAAGAAGCTGAGCTTGAACAGTGACCTGAGTTTAAAGAATTAAGCTAAATGAATAATTTGGGTAAATCAAGGTTTAATAATACGTAATAAGGCGTAATAATGACTTTTGGCACGTCAATGTATGTTAGTTTTAAAGGCACAGCAACAAAAACAGCCTGTTTAATTCCACAGGATAAAGAAAGGTTGGAAAACAGTCGTGTAAAACTGCATTATGACTGTTTTTGGTATTTAAAACCTTAGAAATATTATAAGTGGACCTCAGCGGGAAAAAATAAGTACTGTAGGATATGAACCCTTTAACAGAGAGATTAACAGATCTAGATATTGGAAGACAGACAGAGAGTGAAGTGAGTAAACAGTGCAGAACTAAAGTGATACACTAAAAGGAGAGAGTCTGTCCATACTAACCTGACTCCCTTTCTTCTTCCTCCTCTTCCTCAGCCTCTTCCTCCGAGCTCTCACCCGATGACGATTCTGTACTGTCTGCAAACAAAAAGATCAAGGCATTCAAAACCTGTCCTGAAACACTCTGAGTGTACACGTCTAAAGCTGAATGATATTATTTAACTTGTCTAAATGATGTAAATGATCAATTGGAGTGCAATAAAAGAATGTGAAGAATATGACTAAACACCAACATCAGCATTTGAAGTGAATATATGCCATACCTGAGCTGGTATTTCCATTTTCAATTTCAATACCTGTTTTAGGAAACAGAAAAAAAGACTTAAGCAAAGTAATACATTCAGTAGATTAACTGAATGCAAGCCTAGAGCGAAATCCAGACTACATTTACAAACTGGAATACACTGATTTGAATCCTCAGTGCAGAATTTATAAGTGCATTTAATCCTTTACTGCATAAGTAATGAAATGCACTTTAATAACACCAGAAATCAGAATATTTGACCAAAAATACGAATATGAATTCTATAATTGATGTTTTAATTTTAATTTCTATCCACATGTGAGATTCACATACTTCATGTATGTTCATGTCAATAGCTGAGCACAATTACAGAAAAGGTGCAGAATCACACACTTTCATTTTCCATTGAGTGTTTAATACATCATGAACTACATTTTGTTCACATTACAAGCCTCATTTGTCAAATCCGATTTTTTGCTCAAATCCGATCTCTCTGACAGAATGATTCAAATCTGTCCTTAATGTGAACGAACCGGCGTCCTGAAATGACCCACATGCGCACATCCTCTTCAGTAACGTCACGTGAATGAATCCCGTGCACCATCGGCAAACAGACTAACGAGCAGAACGAGCTTCACTGAGAAGATAATTAACTCTGATCAGCTCTCAGCTTCATTATTAGATCGAGACGAAGGAGAAAAAGGTGAGATGTGTTGCTTTTCCATTGGTCACAGGCTTTAACTTCTGTTCGGCGCTGCTGCCATCGTAACGCTGAATGATGGTGCACGCGCAGTGGAAAAAAAAGCACATGAATTCCGATCTGAGCGTCACATTAAGGTCGAACGGCCATGAATCGGATACATATCCAATCTAGGACCACATATGAAAGGCTACGTTCACATTACCAGGTTGAAGTGGCACAAATCCTTCTTTTTGCCCTAATGTGACTCAGATCTGATGTTTTCAGGGCTGGGTAGACCAGCAAATCTGATCTTTTCAAATCCGACCTGAGCCACTTTCATATGTGGTCCTAGATTGGATATGTATCCGATTCGTGGCCATGTGACCTTAATGTGACACTCGGATCGGAATTCATGTGTTTTTTTTCCACTGTGCGTGTGCCATCATTCAGCGTTACCATGGCAGCTGCGCAAAACAGAAGCTAAAGCCTGTAAACGGTGGAAAAGCAACACATCTCACCTTGTTCTCCTTCGTCTCGCTCTAATAAAGAAGCTGAGAGCTGATCAGAGTTAATTATCTTCTCAGCGAAGCTCATTCTGCTCGTTAGTTTGTGCTGATGATGCATGTGACGCACGTGATTCATTCACGTGACGTTACTGAGTAAGATGTGCGCATGCAGATCATCTCAGGACGCCGGTTCGTTCATATTAAGGACAGATTTGAATCACTTACCTAAACGAGCATGAACCATACTGTCAGAGAGATCGGATTTGAACAAAAAATCGGATTTGAGCGACAAGGCTTGTAATGTGAATGTAGCTAAAGTGGCTCAGGTTGGATTTGAAAAGATCAGATTTGTGTGTCCACACAGCCCCGAAAACATCAGATCTGAGTCACATTGGGGCAAAAAATCTGATTTGTGCCACTTCAACCTGGTAATGTGAATGAGCCTTTGCCAGTGTTGCCACGTTCTCAATTTTCAAGCCAAAATAGTTTGTCTGAAATGTTTAAGTTTCTGGTGGGCCGTGTTTAAGCAAACTTTGGTTCGGTGTATATTTGCTGGATCTAGCAACCCTGTCCGCCGTAGGGGACACTACAATTCAATCATACCCATTGAAATGTTGTATAAATCGACCACTGACTGCATGTGCATATGCTGAGACGAGCAATACATATATATATATATATATATATATATTCATCACAGTACTCTCTTCTGAGCACAGTGTAGGTGTCAGCAGTATTTCTAGAACAGTGGCCAGTTGCATGTTTCATGAAAACACAAAGAAATGACATGTAAAGAGCCTGCAAAAACAACCAACCAAAAGCTGACTGGCTGTTAAACTGTACTGCTTTTATCTAATATTTATCAATGTTTGTGTTTTGTTTTGATGGTGCAATTTGTCTGTTCCATCCTGTTAGCAATACTGGGAAAACAAAACAATGTGACATATATTTTGCATCATCAAATGCATTTTAGCCAAACCGCCCACCCATAGGAAACTACATTTTTCATTTCATAATTTTCATTTATAAGCAGACTTACAAGCAAAAACCTATAGAATCCAGGAAAATCTGAGTCACAGCATTAATGCGCTGGGAAACAGTGGTTTTAAATGCCTGTTCTGGGGGCATTTCTGTTTTTCCCTAATCCAATACACGCAGTTCAATTCATCATTTAATTACCAAGACCAAGAGATGAGTCAGCTGAACGGAAAATGCTCCGTCACGGGTTCCTCAATGCAGGTAACCACTGTGGTGAAGGTAGTCGACCTGGCATGGTGACCTACTTCGCTTTTCATGGCTACACTAAATTTCGCAGGACATAAAAAGTGTCGACTCTGGTGGGACTCGAACCCACAACCTTTGAATTGCCTCACTCAGACAGCTAGAAGTCCAATGCGCTATCCATTGCGCCACAGAGCCCACCCACTGCAACTCCACAGAGCAAGCAGTGTTTCCTCCCCCCCTCAGGGGGAGCATTCAGGGAGGTGGGGTGTTGGTATGTGGGGGGAGGGGTGTTATTCTAACATATACAGACTTGTCTCAGTATTCTTTTTACTTAATTTGGTATTCAAATAAAGCCTATATGGTTCAAAATAAAAAAAAGTTGGGTATCTAGAAGACTAGACTAGAAGATTTTTAATAAAACATCACACTCTTAAAAAAGATGGTTCTTCAAGAGTTCTTCAGCATAGACAAGGGTTCTACATAGCTTTAAAAACGGTTGTTCTATTGCAGGAGTCTTTAATTAAAATTCAATTAGGTCCAGTTAGGGTAAATAATCCTCAAGCAAAGGTCCGGTAACATCATAATGTCTAACTTGCATCATGATTTAGTGCCATATACTGTATAGTGAAGCAGCCTAGTAGTTATATCAACATCTTATGTAGTCGACAACTGAATATCAAATCAAATACAATTCATTAATATTTCAACAATATTTACTGTCAGTTTTCTCTTTTTAGATCACGTCATGTAAAATAATTTCGCTCTGACTTACTTTCTTCTCCGACTGCTGTTTCTCGCCTCGTCCCTGCCCTGCGTGTGCGTCACTCATTCAAGTCACAGTGCTCATTGTAATGCACAGATCTGATTGGCTGAGTAGCATCACGTGTGATATTTACAACGCATGCGATTGGTCTGTGAGTCTCCCGGGCCGCTAAACCAGTACCATAAAGGCTAGAAAAGTTACGCTGATTAAAATAGGCCCACCCCGTCGAAATGAAATAATTCTCCACAGTTTATCGGTTACAGGTCCAGGTCCGCATAGGACAGCGTCTAGGTCCGGACTCAGACCGCGGTCCGCCTATTAGTGACCTGTGTCCTATTGCATACAAGCTTGATATCGTAACAACAGCAGAACCCTTTTTGGTGCTATATAAAACCATTTTCAAAAAGGTTCTATACAGAACCATATACAACACATTTTCCATCAATCTGAAGAACCATTTCACCATGCAAAGAACCACCAAGCATGCAAATGATGATGAATTAAATTGAATTAAAAGGTAAAATTAACTATATGATTTATTTTAATTAAGTTTTCATGTAATAATATTTATCTGTGTCCTGACTGAGTATTCAGGCCTAGTCTGAACCAAGTAGAAATGAACAGTGTGAATTAAAAAAAAAAGATTTCCAGTATGATTTGCCTTTCCAAGATTTACTGTAAATGTATTCAAAATGTATTTATTTACTTTTATATGTATTGATATGGAACACATAAATATATATTTTAAATACAATGTACTACATGTTCAGCCACCACTACTTTTTCAAAGTATTTTGCCCAGCCCTGTTGGTAATATTCCTCTTACAGGAGTTGCAGCGACGGGGTTTTCAGGAGGACAGTGGGACAGGCCCCTGTCTAATACCCCAGAACTTACTTAAATTAGACTCCTTAGACCAGAAAAGGATCCGGGAAATCATCCCTCCACCACTCATTTCTACACCAGCGTCATTATTACTGTGCAACAACGGACACATGGAGCTGTCCCAATTTTTCTCTGGCCCAGTTTTCATCTTCAGGTGCTAAACGTACTCATTATGAGCTCATCTGTGTCCAGTCTCTCACGCCCACATACTAATCTGAGAACTCTTCACCTCCTTCATGTAGGACCATGAAATGGATTTTACTTTTCAAATGAGTTGTGGCCAGAATTGACCATATACACAATTCTGAGAAAGTCCCACCTCCCTTGGTGATTGTTGCTACATCCAACAGGCTACTTGGTAGCATCATTACTGCTTGTGCTAACAGATTAACCCCTTAAAATCTCAGGCTTATTACATACTGCACTGAAAAGATGGTTTTTCAAGGGTTCTTTAGTGAAGAAGATGGTATATAAAACCATAAATGCTCAAAGAATCCCTTTGCATGTTTAAAGGGTTCTCTGCATTGTAAAATGGTTCTTTAGGTTGATGGAGAATGTTCTACATAGAACTTTTTTGAAAAGGGTTCTGCTGTTGTTATGATGTCAAGCTTGTGACAATAAAACACTTTTGTCGCTGTATAGAACTATTTCCAGACAGGTTCTATGTAGAGCCATCCACAGCACAATCTGAAGAACCCTTTCACAATGCAAAGAACCATTCAATCATGCAAAGGGTTCATTGAACCACTTTCTTCACTAAGGAACCCTTGGATAACTATCTTTTAAGTGAGTAAAGCTTATTATTCTGTAATTACAGGGACTTCAATGGGAGCTGGTTTAGTTGGTCACCCATCACTGTATATTACAGTCACTTCATTAACCTCATAACTTTGTTACGTATGATAATGAACATATCATAACGCAGCACTGTTTAATGCAAAAACCTTTGCTTTATAAGTACTTTTGGTCACCAATTTACCACCACAAGTCTTATTTAGCACCAATCCAGCAGCACCCTCTTCTCACACCGGGGCTGAATCTCAAATGGTTCCCAGCTCGCTACATAGTGCACTACGTAGGAGTTTAAATACTGGATCCTGCAGCCCATCAGTGAATAATACAGCTAAGAAATAGTCATTTGGGACTTAGACACATCCATACTCAACACATAGTGCACTATTTGGCTGTAGAGGCTAGAATTCCTAAACTTCCATAGTTAGCACACTATTTAGGGAGTATGGAGCCATTTCATGTTTGATGCTCTACTTAAGGTAGATCTGACTGAAATAGGGACTTTTCTGCACATTTTAATGCATAGTTATGGTTTATTTGCTAAATTTAGCATATTTGGAAAAATGTAATTAATAAGTGGCCTGTGCACATTTTACATTTTATATTTTTTTTTAATAAAAAGAATTTGTGCATTAAAATTTGCTTAAAAATATCATGTTTTAAGTTATAAAAGATGTGTTAACTTATTTTCACTTAGACAATCAAGAAAATGTCTTATTTGACATGGGGTGTTCAAAATTTAGCACATGCTGAACAGACAATGTTTCAGTTAGTTTTAATTTATAATTATATAATAAGCAGCAGATAAGACGACATAGTGCAGTTTAGTTTCAGAGATGCTTCATTCTGACTAATTACTGAACACATTTAAATGGTATGAGTGGTGCAGATCTCAAAAGAAGACACCAGGAAGTACATGGTTAAAGCAATAAGTGAGGTTACAGTGCCCTCTGCTGGAGAAACTGAGCTGCAACAACGTAAACAGGCCTTACCTTTCAGATCTGAAGGGGGGATGTCTCCAGTTCTGCAAAGAGAAAAACAAAAATCAGTTCAGAGGACACATTAAAGAAAAAATAATTTGACCAGATTCAAACTTAGTCTTAAGGTTACACTGAGTTTTCTCAGCTCTAATTCACCAAATCTCCAAATAAGCAATTTTTTGGTACCATAAAAGTATTAAAATGTGATAACCAGCCCTAATCAGGTATTTCAGAGCAGAGAAAACAGAGCTGTCCAGTGCTGTGGTCAAATCAGAAGCACAGCAGTGAAGCCACTCTTGGATGAAGTTACAGCAATCACGCAGAGCTATTATTTGAGCTAAATCTGTGCACTCTAGTAAAAGAAGGGCGGTTATTTTTGGACTTAGCAAGAAGTCTGAGTTTAGAGGCCGGCTTCCAGAGTTGTGTGGTCAGTCTTCAGGATAGCTTACAACAAACTATCTATGGTTAGAATCAAAACAAATCAAAAATGCCTGTAATGTTTCTATCGCCTACTTGTTTTCTTCTTTATCATCACAGCAATATGACTCAGTGCTCTAGATAATATTAGGGCTAAGCGTTTCATTATTTTTATGTTGAAATCACAATTTGAAATAGAGCTGCAATTTTAATTATATCCCACATTCAAAGCTGCCTTACAAAGTTTACAGATGATAATTTTGGCCCAAAAGGCAGAGCCCACAAACTGTCAGTTTGACATTATAGAGGATGTGCTGGTCTTCTTGAGCAAAAAATGGAGCTTAATAGAAAATGATCTCATTTAAATCACAATGTTGGTCAGAAAAGTCACAATTAGAAATTTCCCCAAACAGTTCAGGCCTATATAATATGCAATCAAAGCCCTTCAAGCACAGCTGCCCAAATGTTGTTAATCATTATCATGCCTTTTCCAATACTGATTTCATAGAAGGCTCTAATATAAAAATGAGTCCTCTAACCAATCATGTCCCCTCAGTGTACTGACCAATTACAGTGCCATATGAGTGTTTCTGCGGGTGTTCAAGGAATCACGATATTTATGTAATCTAGAAGTGAATCTTGATTTTTCGGAGTGAGGCCTTCAGTTTGGGCCATAATGTAGAAACTGTTATTATGTATTATGAAACCTATGAATGTTTTAACCCACACTTATAATAAAATGATGTAAAATAATTCCATAAAATAACAGTATTACTACAGTTCTTATAGAGTTTAAACACAGCAAGCTGGACAATTCAGTGAGATTCAAATGAACTACATTCACATACATGTAATCTTCAGGCCTTCACTGAAGGTGTGGAAGGCTCTGAAGGTTCCACTCTGATGTTATTCATCAAAAGTGAACTAATTTGGTCTAAATAATCTTTAATCATATCACATTAAGGATTTAGCAGTGTGTTTATTAAGGAGTCCATATCATGAAACAAACTCTTGCTTTTGTTGAAGTAGTTTGTAAACAGAGCAAAAGTTTCTAAATGCACAATTCTTTCAGCCCCAAAAACAGGCTGTTTTGGATTGACTGTGTTAAGTCTTGGGTTCACATGACTTTTAAAGTCTTAACAGGATATAACAGACTGGGCATCTCACACTATCAAACTGGTTTCAGTAGATTTTTTGGGGGGACTGAAATATCGAGGATCACACATTAAACCACTTTGGATCACACACTACTCAACTTTTAAGTTGTAGCTGAACCAAACTGAACTCACTGAACTCGAGCAAACTCAAGTGTTCTCCTGTTACTAGGAGACGCAAGTAAACAAACATGAAGTGGCTCATGCTGTTCTCTGCACGGCTTCTCTGCTGTTTGCACTGGCACAGTAAAGAAGCAGCAGGTAAACATATTAAAAATGTGATTAATATGGTCATTTTTTAAATGTACGAGTTTTAAATGTAAATGTTTAAATGTTTAAATGTTTAAATGTTAAATGTTAAATTGTGCTCGTGCCTTAAACTCTGCTCCACACGTAAGTGACTTTCCGCCATTTTTCTTTGTTTACTTGCTGTATTTTCTTCTTTCACACTCTCAGTTTTCATTGGCTGTTGCACAAATCTGTTCCGATTGAATCATTGATCAATTTACACTAGATTACACTCAGAGCCAAAAAAATTCAAACATGTTTGATAAACTCCAACTGAACTGAATCAGAACAGAGCTACACAGCCCATTTACATAGGTCAGTCTCAAAGGCACAGTAACAAAAACAGCCTGTTATTTCTGAAGGATAAAAAGTTATGACTGATACATAAAGCCAACCAAACATCATAACTGGACCCTTCAATATATTTCAAGGCATTTCTGAATCCCAATTTGTAGCAATATGATCACAATACCAGTGTTTGTCCATATGGTGCAGCCCTACCTTTAATCCATCTGATTAGCTCTTTGAGGGGGAATTCCACCCATTTTTTAAATTTCTGTCTAGTTAAATGTTTAAGATTTAAATAGTAATTCAGAGTGGTCTAGCTGTTAAACCTAGACCAGTTAACAAATCTTCATACATATGCAATTTGTGACAGCAAACATATAATTTTTACTTCATATACATTACATTTATAACCAACTACACAAACGTGCATTAGCACAGAATATCAATTCACACTGAACCACCATTTGAACCACAAGCATTAGGGCAGCAACCCACCACTTTCTGAGTTCAGGATGTTTAAATCAAAAAGAAAATCTCAGCTCTCTCTAAACTGCTCCGAACTAAAAAAAAACTCATTAGCGTAACCAATCGAAATCTCCATTTTAGCTGACAGATGGAACATTTCCAAAACAGCCTTCGTGATATCCTGTTCATTAAGAGGAGCTGCAGCAAATCCAGTAAAAATGTTTTTACTGTGATGCACTTGGTCACAGTTTATGTTACACTATATGAATTTACTAAATGCTACTAAACCTCCACATGTATTTAGGTCCACATCAAACAACTAATTAGTGGTCTGGCATGAATCGTAGCTCTCAGCCCGCTTTTTCAGCCTGCCAGCAGTTTCTATGCAGAAACAGTACAGAAATGCAAAATCTATGCTACAATATACAGTCTAGGCTAATAAACAAATCAACAAATCTAGTTTTAGCTCCTTGACAGGTTGATTAAAATCCCTTGAGTAGGTTATTGTTGTGAACACACAGGGTCTCCTCCTCTTTCTATCACGCTACATTATCTGGTAAGAAAGCCAGCAACAGTCAAAGCAGCAAGTCAAAATTTTATTATTAATTTCTTTATGTCATCTACATAAAGTTTATATGAGTAACAAATGGACAATACAGATGTTTATATTATGTGAAAAAGCAACAGAAAGCAGCAACCGTTCTTGCTTCACGACACGTGTGCGTCACGTCCGGTGTAAAATAACAAGCGTCGTAGAGTGGTTCCGGATTAACACGCGTGCCGCGTCACATCTAGTGTGAAATGGGCGTAAGTGAACCCTGCTTCAGTTTGCTGCTCGTGGGAATACATTTTTATGATCATCCAAACCAGACGAGAGAATTCAACACCAGAACAGCTTTTCTCAGAGCACATCAGCGCTGTACTATCCGCACATCTGTCTGCTTAACATTTCCCTCTTTACAGATGCTCATATCATTCTTTCAGCACAAGCTGCTGTTAATAATGTGGACGAACAATAAAATAATAGCATATAACATAAACATGTTATACATGTTTACATACATACATGTTACAAACCCTAACATGTTTTATACAGCATAAAACAGATATGCTTTTGATTTTGGCCCGTGGATCCTGGAGCGTATTTTTTGGCCAAGCATCAGCCACCAAGAAGCAGACATCAAGGAACGTTTATTAATATTGCTTTGATTGTGATAGACATATTCATTAAGCATCTCTGTTTTATATTTTTCTATTCTCATGGTGGCGAATGTGAGAGTCACAGAGCGCTTGTATCCATGCAAAATTTAGGACCAATAAACAAACAGCCACATGTACAATCTGGTGCTCCTTGGCTGTAAACTACATAAAAAGGATACAATATCCCAAAAAACCCAAACTCTGGTGCTGACTTTAGAAAATGAACTGGGTTTGAAAACAGTCCGATGTTCTTTAGAGATAGCAAAGTTAGACATCTGAGGCTGGACTAGAGGTGGGTGATACGGCAAAATTTTTATGATACACCATGGGTGTTAAACCCAACCACTTAAAGGGCCATATTAAAAATAGGCACTGAATAATTAAATGATTAAAAATAATTTTAAACAAAAACTAATTGTTTTACATAAAACAATAGGCTACATCTGCTGCAAATCACTGTTAAACCTCTTTAAATGTCCCCAGTGGACAGCAGGTTTTTTAAAACTGCCCATTCGCTTGAACCGACAAGTGGCATCTTATTTTTTTTGTTTTGTTTTGTTTTTGTGGTACTGTCCCATAGATCGTTGTTGGGAAGGGGGTGGGAGCACATGTTATGTTGCAGTGCATGTTGGGAACTGTAGTGCAGCTCATAGTGAAATGGGCCAATATTAATCGCAAATTAAAATAATTTTTCAGGCCGAATAGGATTGAATTCAGTTATTTATAACATTTCACATACTGTGCTGCTCAAAATCCAATTAAACAGGACTAATTATGCTCTCATTGTAATCAAACATGCAGTTGGTAAGTGGTTTTACAACAATGACAATACCCACAATATCCTCAGAAAAGCATACTGTGACATACAGTAATGTAATTTATCACTGTAATGATAAATATTGTCATCTTGCCCAGCTCTGGGCTGCATTGAGGGAATAAAGGTAAAAACAAACACTGACCCTGTTCATAAATAGTTTTACAAAGACTTATTAGCATGACGAGGTAGTTTTGGATAGTCAGTCAGTGGCCTAGTTGCATTTTGTCCCTCATTTTGTCAGCTGTGTTTTGTTTTTGTTTTTTTGACGGTGTGGTGCCACTCCTGTGCGTGATAATAGCTCCCTCTTGTGGAGAACCGGCTCAACACTTTATAATGACCTATGGATGCCCTGTTTATCAGTCACATCACAAACTAATCACTAAGCTGATTCACCAAGACTGTGAATTTTGAGCGA